TTATTGTTACCCATGAAACCATAGCCTAGGATGAGTTGATGAGATGCAAAGAACAGAACGTAAACTGACTAGAAGATAGTGACAAGGTTTATTTTATCCTTTTGAACTATTTTATTGTTTCAAAGCTTTTGTTGATTAATTCTTATGTAGGTATGTATGCCGAGCACAAAGTTTTGGAAAATATTTTAGCCACAAATGATGAGTCTTCAAGTCATTACTCCACCCACTGCCCCCTTCACTTACACCCCTTCATCCAGACTCTTATTTCAAACTGTTACAAAATGTATACAATGGGATAAGGAGGTAAATCTCAGGGTAACAAGTGGGAGATGTGGAATGAGATTATTACTTTATTAACATCTTACTCATGGTCAGAGGTAGTCTCATCTTTTGTACCAGAGTACCAGAGTTTCTTTGTGAACTCTCCTTCTTGGATGCAGCACCAACAGAATAGCCTTGACAAGCCTCTAGCATAGGCTTCCACATAATCGTAATCTTTACATTTGATATAGCGCCTTTCGTGCCAGGAGAACATCTCAAGGCATCCGTTTCATAGGTTTTATTGTATAGTGTAATGACTTTACTTTGTACATGAATGTGATACTATGGGATCTATAATGCCCACCTGAATAGGCAGACCGATCTCAGGTAAACTGAAGGTCAGCACCTGCAACAATGCAGCACACCCCTAGCACTGCACTGGAGTGTCAGCTTGGACATGTGAGTTCAAAGTTCTGATGTGAGGCTTGAGCCCAGAGCTGAGGCAAGAGGGCTACCAGCTGAGCCAGGCTGACATGAGAATGTGTCACAGACTTTGGCAAATGTTTTGTGCCCAGTGAGAATTATCAGAAGTGTAGTTGTATGTGTTTTCTATGAAAAATAAATTGTTTGAAATCCACAGCAGGATTGTTTATTTCAGAATTGAAACACATATAGTTTTCTGTTTTTATTGTAGAAGAACAATCCATTTTCTTATAACTTGCCTTTATGGGACTCTAACCAAAACTTCTGTGAAAATAATGTTTGATTAAAGCTAAGAGCTCCAGAGGGTCTGAATTGATCAAGTTTGGATTAATGAAATGAAAAATGTGATGTTTTCTCACAGATTCCATGCACTAAGATTCTTTGAGGTGCCTCGAAGATGTAATAAGGCACTATATGAAATGCAAGGATTATTATTATTTTGGAAACTGTGATAGAATCTATTACAAAACCTCATATGTACCCAAACACTGATTGTTGACATGAACTGAGACGTTTAACTACAATTCTTAGACATCATATTTCACCTCTCTTGGAGCAAATAAGAAAATAGTTAACATTGAGAGTTAAAAGGACCATCCCTCACATTTGCCCAAAGAATCAAATAACCTTTGAAAGCAGAAAAAAGGACATTTGATTCCCAAATCAACAGGCAAGGAGACCCTTGAGCTATTTTTTCTTGGTTACAAAAGAAGTAATGGAGGCATACTGTTTCTGTGTTATCTCCAGGGTGGCATTCAGTGCCTCTAGCCAAGCGTCTGTTCACTCCTGATAAAAACTTGTTTCTTCACACACAGATTTAAAGCAGATCCTGTTTACATTGACATAGTGCAAAAGTACTGCAAGTACTTCCGTCTGTATAAAATAACATTTTGTGCCTTGACAACTAGTACAGTACAGCTAGGAATGAAGGAACACACACAACTGATAATAGTTAAGACGAGAATATCAACCCTCAACAATGTGAAATTGAAAAATCACTCAAATACAGTTAAAATGTTGCTGTAATCCATGCGTGTGGGACAAAGGGATCTCGCACAGTGGTTTGATTTGATACTTGCTGATTATAAATTGGAATGGCATTGTTACTGTTCGCTCATTTCAAGATGGTCTTGCACATGTCAGCAGACTGATTCCACGTGTCATCAAATATATAAATACTATTGCGGAGCTGGAGAATTGATACATTTAGCTGGCCCCTTGCCGGTGAAGAAAAATACTGGAAACCAAATTTTATAAAATCAGTTTCCTAATGTAATAATAATCCTTGCATTTGTTAAAGCTTCTTTTTATGTTGTCAAAGCATCTCAAAGCACTTCAGAGGATTACTGTAACATGTAATGACTGTGTATTTGCAGGTGAACAAATGTTGGCTTGTGGCAGCCACTAAGCTGAAAGGCAGTGCTTTTGAATCTGCCACATGGAAACTCTGCTCGCATCTCATTCCAGTCACAGGGGAGCAAAGTTCCTGGAGATTGGTGTGACATATTTATAAAAAGCTGCTTGTGGGTCATTGCTGTTTGCCAGTTCCAAACACACAGTCAACGCACATCATAAAAATATGTTGACATGATTAAGTGCTACATGAAATGCAAATGCAGATTATCCTTTTTGGATCCTGTTGCAAGTATTGCATTTTAGACACATTGTATCACTTATTTGCATGTTTATATTTTAGTAAAATGTGTGCACAGAGGAGTTTGGGGTTCTAGATTATGAGACACTGAAACTCATTGTTTACTAAATTGATGTTTATGGATAGGTACATAATGGTGGAGGCAACAGTCTTAAAGAATAACTTGATTTTTATAAGATTTACATTTGAGAAGTATTTCATTGGGATCTATCTGATAAATATTTATGAAACTGATTTAGAAAGAAGCAAAGTATTGTAACAAAAAGCAGAGTACCAGCTGGTCTGTGAGCTTTCTCTGCTGAGCTGACAGAAGCTCATGGGGATTTGTTATGAGCATAGTTTTGTCTTAAAGGCACTCACTTTAAAGGGGTATTGCTTCTCTGAATTGCTTTCTTTTGAAAATGACCTGCTAGCCAAAATATAGATAGAGGCTTAGAAACAACTGAGTGGTTTGTCTGTCTGACCGCTACAGGAGAATAAGATGTATTCTTACACTAAGAATTCAGTTTAATTATAGTCTTTTTGGTGGGGAGAGTGGGGTGGGGTGAATGGTGTGGGCTCTGTTCTCACAAACCCCAGGTGTGCATTTTCGGGCACTCAGCTGGTCAGCAGAAAAATAAAAATAGCTCATAATGAGAAACTGCATGCTGCACAGTTGGAGCTGATTATACTTCAGATAATGAATAGCTCAGTAATCCAAAACCCCTAAATCATTAACAACCTGGCTTTGGGGACTTGAGTGACATAAGGGCAGCCTTCTGCACGATATAGAAACAACTAACTCTTTTCATGATAGCAGTAGAACTTCATTTATTAAATGCAATCCTAGAAATTGCAACATTAGAGGAAGATACTCAAGCCTAAACCAGTGCCAACTCCTCCATTGGCGCTAACTGATTTTAATCCACCATTCCTTTCCAGACTCTCTTATATTGCCCTCTTCAAATGTTTATTCAATTCTTTTTTAAATGTTGTTGTCATCTTGGCCTCAATGGTGACTTGTGGCAAAGCACTGCATGTTCTAATAACTCTCTGTGAAAAGTTGTATTCTAACCTTCCTCTTAACTTTTCCAGTAATCATCCTGAGTTTATGTCCCATATTTCCAATAGCATACTATCTCATATTCCCATGCTACCAATACTAGACAGTAGGTAAAAATACACTACTTTTGTACCAAACCACTTGTGTCCTGGAGACCCACTGTGTTGGCTGAGATCAGGTTCATTGCAGATTGGGATTGAAACTTGCAACCTTCTAGTTCATACAGTCTGATGCTGCACTACTTTACCCACTAGGGGAGATAAGCCTGACTTTTTGTTTTGAAAAGTTGGAGGCCGCAAAGTAAATGGTCAAATCATTTTAGTGCAGGATATCATGACTGTTGAAAAGATACAAACAAGATGAGACTCCACACGCCTAATAATAATCCCTCAAGAAACAAAATAATAAATTGGTCACTTCAATCCACGACTGTTTGTGAGGGCAAAAACAGAGAGAGCTGGGAAAACTCAGCAGGTCAGGCAGCATCTATGGAGAAAAGAAAGTGAGTCAACGTTTCGGGTCCACGACCCTTCGTCAGAACTGTTTGTGGGACACTGCTGTGCTCAATTGGCTGCCGCGTTTGCCCACAAATATATAGTCAATTCACTTTACAGTGCGTTCTGTGAAGCACTTTGGGACGTCCTCCTGACGTGAAAAGCGCTATATCAAATGCAAGGATTATTATTATTATTCTGTGAAGCGCTTTGAGACGTCTAGAAGACGTGAAAAGTGCTATATCAAATGCAAGGTTTATTATTATTATTGTTATTATAAAACAAGCAGTATTAGATGGGTGTTGCCAAGGTTGTTTTTAAAGGGTATTGTGTTGAAAAATACAATTGTTCTTAATGGATTTCACACCGTCCAGAGTGAAGGGTGCTATATAAATTCAAGCTGCTGTTGTTGATTTACCAGATGGATTATAGACTAATCATAATTATCATAGAAATCTTCGGGCCCAACCAATGTGGTGAAGTGAAGGGAGGAGGGTTTCACACCAAAGCCAGTTTTTAATAAGAGATGGAAAAATGTATTGTTACTTTACAGATATGATAGCACTTCTAATCAGTAAGAAAAAGATACATTTTTCACCCCGTAGCTTTTTGCAGGAAGCAAAGATAAATTATCAATTTGAGTAAGTGTCAATGCATAAAGGGTATATACTTTATAGTGGATTCAAGATGGGGAATTGTGAAAAATGATGTACCCTTAATATCAAGAGTAAATAATGGTCCGTACGATGATATAGCAATTAACAGTATGGACTAATATGGCTAATCCTAAACAAAGTTTAAAAAATCTACCTGCCAGATTCACAGGTCACGATGATATTGACTTGGCATAACTCTTGCTCAACTTGTGTAATCTATTAAAAAGAGCCTCAAAGATTAAATTAAGACTCCCAACACTTTTTGCGTACAGCTGATAAATCATTATACCATTTGACCAAATGGTAGTCTTAATCCAATTAGTATGCAAATAATTATTCCTTTAAAGAGGTGGTGAATTGTTCTATGCTTTCCCCCTATGTCCTAAACTGTCTTTCTGATTCTGTTGCAGTCTTGAAGCTGTTGAAGGACGGTGCTGACCCTAACACATTGATCTCCTCAGGAGGCTCCCTGCTCCATCTGGTAAGAACATCGCTCATGTAGCCTTAGTAATTAAATATTGTGAGCTGAATTGCCAAATAAAGCTAATTACATTGATACTGCAATGCTTAGTGGAGATACCAGGAATAAATTCAAATACGAAAACATATTTGTCTCTCAATTTCTCGTAATTGTATTGCAATATGCGAGATTACTGCAGGCAATTTATTTGGGGTCTTTATAAGGCATATGGAATGATATTTCTATAATTTCTGGATATGATTTATGCATCTAGAAACAAATCAGAGGGTTTGTGTTTCCCATTAGTATTTCAGGCAGGTATTTTCATAAAGTAATCTCCAAGACTGTGCTCTCTCTGGGTCATGTTTGTTTCTTTCCAGCAGAGAAAACATCTTACACCAGAATCTCTGAAGAAATGCATTAAGCCTCTCCCTTAAGGCTTATGATTAGATCATAGTTTTCAATTGTGAATGTATCAGATTCACAGGTAACATTTTAGTTAGAATATTTCCCCCAGGTGAATGAAATCTCTACGGGAGTGAGCTGATTCTAACTTTGGTACAGATATAAGCAGCAAAATACTAATGAATAGAAATACACTATCTGAAATGAGGAATACATATCAAATTACCGGGAATATTTCCATCACGTATGCTCCATAGCCAGGACCATGGTGGTTTTAATTAGAAGAATTAAAATTATTACACAAAGCGACCCCACTGGAAAGTGTGTTGATTCTTTTTACACTTTAGAATTCCTGAATGAGAATAGACACTTTTGAAATCTATGATCGCTACCCAATCCTCTGAGCATACACCTGGAAGGAGTATAGGTTGGGTAACTACCTTAAACAGTTTGCTCTTTAAGAATTGTAATCTTTGTGAGGATGACTTGAAATCTAGATGCATTAATGATATGTAATTAATATAATGCTTTTGAATACCACTATGCTGCACCGTGACTTTGTAGGAGGTGTTGACCTTGTTCCGCATATGGTGTGGTTTCCAAGCTGTCAACCTAGGTCAGTTGGTAGCATGCTCGCCTCTGAGTCAAAAGGCTGTAGTTTCGATGTCAAGTTGGGACTCCAATACAGTGTTAGGAGAGCATTGAGTATTGGAAGTGCTGTCCTTTGGATGAGATGTTAAAATAATTCCCTGTTTGCTTGTTCGGGTGGATGTTTAAAGTTCCATGGCACTGTTTCATCCCTGTGTTCTGGCTAACAATCCTCTAGCTAAAATCGATTGTTTCATTTCATGCCTGTTTATTGCTGTTGCATTCATCTAAAAAATACACAGTCACTACACTTTACAGTAAATCTTGTGAATGTTGTTCCAATGTGAATGGAAGTCCTGGATGAGAGCTAACTTCCTGCAGTTGAATATCAACAAGACCGAGGCCCTCCTGCTTGGCTCCCTCAGGAGGTGACAGCATCTCCCTCCATGGATCCACTCTACATCTCACGGAGCCAATACAGAACCTCAGGGTCCTGTTTGACCATGAACTGTCCTTCATACACCACATCCGGGCCATGACACCCTTAGCTTTTTCCCATCTCCGCAACATTGCTCGGCTCAGCCGCTGTCTCATATCGGAGGCTGCCGAGAGCATCACACTTGCATTCATGACATCCAGGCTCGACTACTCAAACTTCCTGCTTGTCAGACTCCTGAACTCCTCTCTCCATAGGTTGCAGATCATCCAGAACTATGCAGCCCATGTCCTCTCTCGCACAGGCTCCGGGACCCTATCACCCCCATCCTCACCCGACTCCACTGGCTTTCCATCACACAAAGGATACATTTCAAGATCCTGGTCCTCACCTTCAAAGCCCTCCATGGTCTCGCTCCCCCTACCTCTGCAACCTCCTAATCCCCTACCAAACTGCCTGCTCCTTCCACTCAGCGGGTTCCACCCTGCTTCATGCCTCCCCCCTCACCTGCCCCACCATTGTCAGGCAGGCCTTCAGCCACTCTGCTCCCACCCTCTGGAACTCCATCCCACAGTCCCTCCACCTCGCCCACTCCCTTGCCTCCTTCAAGACCTGTCTTGAGACCCTCCTCTTCAACATAGGCTTCGACTATTGATGCTATATAACAGCAGCGTTTTAACCGTGCAGAGATTCCATGGATGTTTTTTGTTTCCAGTTAGTGCTAATAGCCAGCACTACTTTGGATCATTTGCTTGCCATTACTTACAACTGCCAAACTCACATCATTCGCTTTGGGGCTTGAACCCCCAACCTAGTGACTCAGAGGCAAGAGTGTTACCAACTGAGCCAGGCTGACAAATTGTCTGCACAAACAAATGTAACATTAGCAAATTGTTGAATTTAGTTTTAACTTTGAAGAGATTTTCTGTAATTCTTTAAAAAATAGAAAACTAGCTTCAAAGTTATAAACCATTTAAGATTTTGATAAATTCTGGGTGCTATGTACATAGAGTAAATTCAGGTTGAATTTCTACTGACATTCTCCAGCAAGGAAACCTGTTAAAATTCCTGCTCCAGAGGTAGATGGTGCGGAGTGCAGAGTGGAGTTCTGATAATTGGTGTGATGCACTTTCTTCTTGCTGGAAGAAGTTATCAGTTGGATTCCTTATTAAGGAAAACCTTTAAGAAATTTTACATCAAAAAATGTAGAAAAAAACTAACATTTTGATACCCTAATTTGTGAACTTTTATTTCCAACAGAGCGCTCGATATGATAACATCTTCGCTGCTGAGATTCTAATCGAAAGGGGGGTAAATGTCAACCGACAAGATGAGGATTTCTGGACTGCTCTGCATATTGCTTGTGCGTGTGATAATCCGGATATTGTTCTGCTCTTTACACTGGTGAGTATCTAATTCTGATTTTGACTAATTTAACAGTACTTTGTAAAAGCATTTTTTCTAAAGCTGGTTAAAGAGGAAACTTGTTCGATTGGAGTCTTTAGCTGTGTGCAATTGGCTGTTGCGTTTTGCCCAAAAAACGCAGTCAATTGTTTCTGGTCAAGAATTCATTAGTTTCCTAGAAAAATCAACTGTCTATGAATCAAGACAACTGGACAATCAAGCCTCAAATCCAACATTGTGGCATGACTTGTGATGATTTCTAATGAAATTCTTCAATGCAGAAGCTGAAAAATGTTCTGGTGTCCATTGGGGAGTAAACTCCGATACAATCTACATTTTGACCAGATTTTCTGTGGGTAGGCGTGATGTGTGCTGCACATACCTCTGGTCATTGGAAAAAGGTTCATACTCCTCTTTCAAATTAGCAACAATTTTCACTTATACAGCATTTTTCATGTAGGTAAAAATCTGGAAGAGTCAAATCCTGTCAGTAATTACATTTTAGACAGTATTTCACAGTGCGTTATCCGAACAAACCATGCACTGCTGGAGTGTTTGTCTGTGTGAAACAAATGAAAATTAAGATTTTTTTTGTTTATTTTCACCAAACTATGAATTAGTAAAGTTATATGGTTCTGCACATGTATCCAATTGCATTTTGTATTATTTGGTAACCAGAAATGATCACTCTTTACTGTTCACAAAACATAAGCTGTTAAACAAATATTTTTTTTCATAGTGCATAAACCATTTCAAGGGCATTGTTAATGCTCAATGGGTTACAATTATTACTCCATATTTGTAATTTGTTTGTTTCAGCAGTCAAATCATTGGCATTGGACAAGCATGAATTCAGTTAATGGCTAGCCATAATTTGCATCATTTTTACAAATATGCTTTTTCTTGTTTCCTGCTCTCCAAAAAATACTGTACAATTATTTATGACCTTGCTTAGTGAATATTGACTTATTAACTTAGCTTAATTGTGGAACGTTTGGTCAGTATGCACAGGAGTTGCAGTGCACCTTTTCATCATTATTTTTTATTGCACTTCTTAATTAACTTCAGTTATGACTTCAGTTCTGACTAACTGAAATTGCAAGTTCTATTCATTGCAAGATTGGTGATGGAGAAAGCATTTAATTTTGTTGGATCTTGGGACATTGTTTATAGATGCACTGTTAGATTTTGCTGCAGTGGGATTTAATAAAACAATACTACAGAGTAAAATCAAACATTTTAACTAACTTCATAACATTCACTGAAGCATATGTGTGTTTTTGACATTTATTACTATATTTAACCAATTGTAAGATAAAGTGCAACAGTAAGCCCCTATGAAGACCTCTATTGGCATAACGGACTATAGCTGGCATTGTACAGAGCAGCTGTTTTAGTGACACATAAATCCAACATGCATATCAAAACCATCTGCTTGTTCTTTATGGCCCTCTCAAATCAAATAAACCTGCTGTTCTAAATGATTGTTTTGCCCTCCCACCAGGTACTATTTTCAAACCTACTGCACTTACTACACACTAGGGGTGTAACTCGTATGCAAATTTGCCTTGTATTGGCAGGTTTATGTTAAAAATTGCTGACAGGGTACATATTTTACAATAATAGACCTTTAAAATGAGTTTCAATGATTACTGTTTAAGACTATGTGACCTATGGACATTTTTAATAACTACAGGTTAAAATGTTTCAGCTTGTTTCATTTCTTTTCGTTCCATTTTTCAAACTCCCTTACATTCACAAGGTTCATCGTCAACTGGGAGAATTGGTCATGCCTCCCATTGGTTTTGAATTCAGCTAACAATGGCCACTTGTCCAAGTATTTTCCCTTGGACTCTAAATCATAGCTGAATAAACATACCATATGAGGTGCTCATTTGATGCTGAGTTAAAATCCATTCCAATTTCAGTGCAAACTGCAACAGCAGCGAATAAAAACACTCACTATCAGCTAAACTATTCTAAGTATTCAAACTGCATTGACTTTACGTGTACATTGCTTCCTCTGCAACTATTCAAAGAATGTACAGTCAATCCTGTCTTCAACATTATGCCAAAGTGCCCTTTATGTAAGGGTGGCCTCTCAGTAAGGGTGTGTGAAATGAGCTGTCTAGGCTGTTCCAGGGTGTTTTTTTAACAGAGGGTGGTTGCTGAATGGAGATACTTGCTTGAACAGGTTTGCATGCTAAAGGTTCCTTCATGTTGTGAACACAGAATGCACTTGGCTGTGACTGCCTCCATAGCATTTCAAAAACATCCAATGTCCCACAGAGAAGTGAATGACTAATTTTATCAGTGAATTAACTCAGTCAATATCCAAAGAAGCAACATTCAAAAGCTGCCTGTAAAATGAAGTCTGTGCAGTGGGCAAGATGGGAGAGAATAATTTTTAAGCTGCGAATAAGAGCAAAACAATGTACAAATTTAGGAGGAGGGGAAGGTTAAATTCTATGTTCTACATACAATTTATGGAATAATTGGAAATATGTAATGGCACTCCCATGATGGCAGAATTATTAGTATTTCATTAAGGATGAGGTATATTCAGCACTTTCTTGCACATTATAGATGAAATGGCTTACAAAATATATTTTCACTCCAATATGTATTTAACCTGCACCAATGAATCTTCAATTGGTGGATCAATGTCTCTTGAGTTTTCCAGGCAGTTCCTGGCACATATGTTACTGGGAGAAACTAATTACATCCCAGAGTGGCACTGTTGATATTAATTGGGGAGGGAGGGAGGGGGTGCAATGAACCAGCCTGGCAGCTGATTCTGACTATCCTCCTTGGGAAGAAGTTAACAGGGGCTCCTTGGAACTGAACTGGCTCCAAGGTGACATACTTGGCAATGGAATGCCAGAATTGAGTCAATCCTTTGTGCAGCTTTGGCGTCCTTATCCTGAGCCAGACAGAACTGCAGTACTCCAGGGCACTGCAGGTGACAGACCAACCAGCCTGGATCATTGGGCATCGGATAAATTCTTCCATCTCATCTCCTTTTAACTTTTAAAGTCAAAGAACAGGAAGCTTACCAAACAGTGCTTTCAGTGGTTAGCCCAACACACTCTGAGATCCCAAGCCTTGGCTCTTGCAAACCTGTGCCAAATACCCTCCAGCATTCGGGAAGCAGGGTGCTCCAGAGGACAGCACGCATCCCATTCCAGCCATGGAAATTTACATGTGTAGGTGGCATACATGGAACTCCATCTGGTTAGATATGCAAAGCCTGATGATGGGTTTCTGCACACGTCATACACCTGCCTGACCAGAAAAATGGCTTGGAACCGACTCCAGGAAATTATGAGATCAGTGATTTTGTGAAATTTCCTAAATGCCAATATGTTTTCAAAGGGTCAGCCAGCTTTGGACTGATGGTCAGACCCCTCCAAAACATTTGTTTTGCTCATAGGGCACTAAATGAACCTGCTCCAGAATGCTATTAGCTCCTTCCTGTAGCATACTTGCCTTATCGTAAAGGCTCGTAAGTAAGGTGCTGGGTCCTTTGACTGATTTAAATACAAGAATAATAATCCCTCAAAAAAAACAGAAACAATAATAAAAGTTGGTCATTTTCAATCTACGACTGTTTGTGGGACATTGCTGTGCGAAATTGGCTGCTGCGTTCGCCCACAAATATACAGTCAATTCACTTTACAATGTGTTCTGTGAAGCGCTTTGGGACATCCTCCCGACGTGAAAAACGCTTTATCAAATGCAAGGATTATTATTATTATTAAACACAAGAATACATCCTTAAAAATGAAGGGTGTATTAATGCTTGGTTTCCTCTATTCCATTAACAGTGGGAGTACATTTGAACAGAAAGTGCTTTCTAGACCTTAATACCCTTTTAAATTGCTAAAAGTATGTCAATCCAATGCCACACACAAAAAAACACAAGCTATTTGCACAACAGCTGCTACACCTTCTGCTACATTTGGGAGGTGGTATGTTTTCAACGTCTGCCAGGCTTTGTAGGGACAAAGAAATGTGCAAGTATTGTGATAGAGTAAAATGAAGGGAGGGATACTTTAACCTTACTGGACAGAAGGGAGAACAGATAACAACAATTCCCTTGTAGCTTACCTTTCTTATAAGGAAAATCTCAAAGCACTTTACATAGATGGTTCAAATCCAAAAAGGTGGGAAACTGGGGAGGAAGGGGGTGTAGGAAGGAATTGATCAAAGGCATGATTGAAGAAGTAAGAGTCTTACTTATTTCATTTTATGATTTTGCTTGGAGGTCTCTGAATATCTTTTGTTCCAGGTAATGAAGTGAGCATTTAAATATTCTTCTAAAAGTATTTCATGGGGTTAATTTTTAATCAGTTGGCTGAATCTAGTTGTTCAAATAATATGTTGGCATAATCTGAAATCTGTTATACAGATGGAATGATTGTTCACCATTAGCATTAAATTCCTATGGATGAGAATCATTGGCTTCATCACTACTGTATGAATTACCAATGATGAGTTACGATGAAAATAATCTTAACAAGCTTTTAATAGTTACTTAGCCATCAGTAGAACTATCAAAAACTTGCTTTATATGAGAGAAGAGTTTGAAGTTATACATGTATCGCTACATCAAAATAGATCTAAGGTCTCATTGAAGGGATGAGTTATAAGGACTAACTGAACTATTAGCCTAGATAACTAAGGGCCTTTCAGCCTTGAAAAGAGATGTCTCGCAGATTAACTCAACAACTTGTAGCAACTTGTATTCATTTAATACCCTTCATATAGAATAACCTCACCAAGCTGAAGGTGGAGAGGACATTATCATAGACGCAGTCACAGAGGTAACTTTTAACATGGGGTTTGTGGATAGATGGGGGACGGGGGTGCAGATACAGGACGAGGCAGAGGGATAGATGCAGGGAGTTTGGGAGGGCAATAATTGAAGGCTCGGCCACCAATTGTGGTATAGAGGAGGGCATTCTTAAGATGCATATAACATGCTTAAAAGAATGGAG